CCCCGTCCGAACATACCGACAAGTTCCATAATATAACGCGGACCTACCCGAGGCCCCATATCACATCCAAGAATGTTAAAACTATGAATCGCACCTCAAATCGAACTTAATGAACTTATGAACTTTCAACTTCTACAACTCGCGTCGAATCATATCAAATCAACTCGGAATGACATCAAATTTTGCATGCAAAACCCGAATGACATAATGGAGCTATTCCAACTCTCAGAATCACAATCCGAGTTTGATATCCATAAAGCCAACTCCCGATTAAACTTTTAAACCTTCCAAACTTTCAACTTTCTAGCTTTCGCCAATTTAAGACGAAACAACTTACGGACCTCCAAATCAATATCAGGACATGCTCCTCAGTTCTACATCACCATACAAAGCTATTGGAACCATCAAAACACTATTTCGGAGTCGTCTGTGCAAAAGTCTAACTCCGGTCAACTCTTACCGCTCAAGCTTCTAAAATAAGAATCATCCATCTAAATCAATTCTGAATCACCCAAAAATCGAACTGAACCACACACTCAAGTCATAATACATAATACGAAACTGCTCGAGACCTTAAGACACCAAACGGGATGCTAATTGTCAAAATGACCAGCCGGGTCATTACAGATTCGAACGGTGGATATTAAATCTGATGGGGTATTAAAATTAAATAAAACAATGAGATAAACGTGGGCTGTTGATTTGAAGAATGGACAGCCTAGATTAATTGTGTTTCTTTTGTGAGTGTTGTGGAGAGGGTGACGTGGCGAGTTTTGATTGGTTCTCATGAGTTGTGCCGGATTGCCAAAGTGAAAAGAGAGGAGTGTTTGGACTGGGTCAGGTCCGGATTTGGGCCTGGTATTTGGGCTAAAATACTTAAAAAGATAGCCATTGTGTGATTAATTAAGGAATTGCAATTGTAGTCTTTTAGTCTTTAATCTCTTTAAAATTAATTTAATTAAACTTAATTAATTTCCAATAAAATGTAGTAAAACTATAATTAATCAAATATACTACTAATTATTGTAAATAATTATTTATAAAATACGTTATTTTCTAAATTGTAGCACTAATATTGAATTATTAATATAATAATCTAATTAATCAAAATTTTAAGATGTAATTTGTTAAATTAATTATAAAACCTCTATGGCATATTTAAAAAATTTATTTTAATAGTATTAAAATAGTAAATATATTTGTAATTATATAATACTAATACTAGGTGATTAATTTCAAAAATAATACTTAATTAATTTGTAAAATAGATATTTATTGATTAGAAAATACTTTTAAAATATTCATTGTAAATTATTAAGTACAAGTAAATTAATTTTAAAAGGGAGGGTGAAAATTGGCTGTCAACAACTGCCCCTCTTTGACCGAGATGATGAAAGAGTTTTCGGGCAAAGAAATTGAATCAAAGCCAATTTTTTCCGACTTTAGGCATGCATTGCAGGAATGGCATAGAGATTGTGAGCTGCAAGATTGGAAGTTAAGGAAGGTTTTGGGAAGATATTTTGGGAAGTTGGGGCCGAATTCTGGCTTTGAATTGCTTACATACCTCGGGCTTAACGAGGATCGGGCCTAATGTAGTTTTGGAGTGAGGACTTCGAGGAAGCGATACTCGTAAGAATTGACCCAATATCATATTATGATGATACTACGAGTCGGAAGATTTGGCACTCACGATAGCTTGAATTTGCGGGTTGAGTTGAAAGATTTGAAAAGGTAGAGTTCTACTGATCGTCTTGAGATTGAGCTTGGATCCTTGGCCCGCTAATGAGTTTGTTGTTCCTCATAGCATTGTAGTTTGGTCTGTTGCTTAGAAGGAGTTCCACGTTGCGATATTTTGTTCATGAAAAAATGAAATACACACATACCCATATATTGCAATGCAGAATATATTAAGATGTGATGTAAATGATGTAGGAATGATGATGACTGGCTGCCGACGAGGCGTTATTTGGGATAGGGATGATGGAATACTTGGACTTGACTCTATTTGTTAGCCGATCTATGTACCGTTCCGCAGCTGTCAGAGCAATTAAAAAGTGTCTCTGCTTGTTGGGAGAGCTTGACTTGTAGAGTGCGTCTCCGCTTGTTGGGAGAGCTTTGCACTGAAAAGTGTCTCTGCTTGTTGGGAAAGCTTGATTTTAGAGTGTGTCTCCGCTTGTTGGGAGAGCTTTGCACTAAAATGTAAAGTAATTTCCACCTGGGAGTAATTGACTTAAACGCAATCATGCCTGAAGCTGCATGAGCAAAATATCAAAACATTCAAGATAATAAGGATGGAAAAGAAAAGCATGCCCAAGAGATACTATTGAATGCGAAACTAAGTTGCGGCCAATGATTGGCAGAATGTCGGTGATGAGGTTTGCGACTATCTATTCTAGCCTCCGTTGTGACGGAGTGGTGGTGCAAATTGTTCCGTTGATGGAGCGAACAATTTGTAATATACAAGGCTTCGATTGGCAAAACCGATGTTTGATTTTGTACAGGGCGCTCTGATCGATTGAGATGACGATTTGTTGTATTCCGTGCTCCAGTTGGTGAAGCCGATGACTCGTTTTGTACAGGGTGCTCCAATTGTTTGAGCAGGAGGTTTGCTATATACAGTGCTTCAATTGGCGAAGCCAACGGTTTGTTTTGTACTAGGTGCTTCGATTGTTTGAGCAGGCGATTTGCAATATACAGTGTGCCTTTTCCGCATTAGCAGTCTGACTCCGAGATACCCGAAAAGGATTTAAGAATTAGCTTTAGTTGTACCAGAAAAATTTAAATAAAGGAGAAAGGGTGATAATCCTAGGAAAGTGGTGAATCTGTCATTTGCCATAGTGTAGTCCCAACATTTCCTTGCGTTATGTTAACCCTACACTCAAAGAAATATTCTTAGTGGGAGTGGGGGGTTAGTTTGTGTCGACCACAATGTCGGTTTTTCCCAAGCCCTTGATATGGCTACGCTACAAAGTTCAGTAGGTGGAACAAATTACTGTATTTTTGAAAACATTTTTTGAAAATTTTGTTTTAAAGCAAGTGTCGTCGTTCCAGATTATGACATGCTACGAAAGGTTCTCCAAACACGAGCGTCGCTTCTTGAAAAGTCTATCTCATTGATGTCGATCTTCCGTGATGGTTCTGACAATATGGCTGCTTTGCTGTTGCGACTGCATCATAATTCGAACTAATGCATTACAAAGGTTTTCCTAAGGTTATGACAGAACCCTTTCAGGTTGCCTACGTATCCAAAATGGAATCAGGTATGAACGTAGTTCGTGGATGATAAAAATATGATAAATATGACCGAGCCTGACTCAGGTAGCCTACAAATGGAATTAGGTTGAGATGTAGTTCGATTACAACAGATGCAAAATGATGAGATTGAGAATGAAATGGCCGAGTCTGACTCAGAATTCCTATGTATCTAAATGGAATCAGGCCAGAACATAGTTCAATTACAAAAGATGACTGAATCCGATGAGGATTGCCTATGTATTCCTTCCTGAGGAAATCAAGTTAGCGTAGTTCCAGAGAAATATACAAAATGATATTTGGATTTTCTATTACAAAAGAAAGGAGGGAGAGAAACCGAACCCTACGTGGGTTGCCTACGTATCCCTTCGTGGGAAGTTAGGTTGAACGTAGTTCTGTTACAGCAAAACCTAACTCTATTTGTCTTCAAACATAGTATCTCTTGATTGCATCTGAGTTGATGAGCTTCGTGTTGACTCTTCCATCCAATTCTGCCAAGATTAGAGCTCCTCCCGACAACACTCGGTGAACCACGTAAGGACCTTGCCAATTTGGTGTGAACTTTTTCTTTGGCCTCTTCCTGGTAGGGAAAGGTTTTCTTCAGAACCAATTGCCCTGGTGTGAACTGACGAGGCTTCACCCTTTTGTTAAATGCACTAGCCATCCTATTTTGATATAGCTAAAAATGGCATACCACATCCATTCTCTTCTCATCGATGAGCATGAGTTGCTCGTGTTTGACCCGTATCAACTCTGCATCGTCAAACTTAGCCTCTCGGATGACTTTTAAAGATGGTATCTCTACCTCCGCAGGTATCACAGCTTAAGTGCTACTAATATGTATGGTGTTGCCCCAGTGGATGTTCTCATGGTAGTCCGATAACCTAGTAAGGCGAAGGATAGTTTCTCATGCCATTATCTGTGATTGTCCACTATCTTCCTCAGAATTCTCTTGATATCCTTGTTGGTTGCCTTGACTGCTCCATTCATTTTTGGTCTGTAGGCTGTGGAGTTAGAGTGGACAATTCTGAACCTTTCGTAGATTTTCCTCATGAGATCCCTATTGAGGTTAGCGGCATTGTCAGTGATGATTGACTCAGGTATCCCAAATCGGCAGACGATGTTGTTTCAGATGAAATCTGCCACTACCTTCTTTGTGACGGCCTTGTAGGTAGTTTCTTCGACCTATTTGGTGAAGTAGTCAATAGCTACCAAGATGAAGCGGTGCCCATTCGATGCGGCAGGCTCTATAGGCCTAATCACATCTATGCCCCAGTTGGCGAACGACCAAGGCAAACCCATCACATTCAACCCGTTCGGCGGAACATGGATGAAATCCCCGTGGATCTAACACTGGTGACACTACTGTATGTAGCGGATACTCTCATTTTCCATAGTCATTCAAAAGTATCCGAGTCTTAAGATCTTCTTGGTTAATGTGAACCCATTCATGTGGGGTCCACATATTCCTGCATGTATTTCTTCTAATAATCTGGTCGCCTCGGCGGCATCTACACATCCCAACAAACCCAAGTCTGGGGTCCTCCTATACAGGATTTCCCCGTTAAGGAAAAGGTGATTCGCCAGCCTCCAGAGGGCTCACTTCTGACTATTAGTAGCATTCTGTGGGTACTCTCTGGTTTCAAGGAATCTCCTGACTTCGTGGTACCACGGGTTACCATCCGGCTCTTCATCTACATGGAAGAAATAGGCATGTTTATCCTCATCTCTACCTTGATGGGGTCAATTTAATTCTTGTCTGGATGCTGAATCATGGATGATAGAGTTGTAAGGGCATCAACGAACTTGTTCTGGATCCTGGGAACGTTCTTCAAGTCAATCTTCATGAACTTCTTGCATAACTCTTTTACACAATGCAGGTACGAAATGATCTTGACATTTTTGGTAGACCACTCCCCTTGGACTTGGTGTATCAATATATCGGAATCCCCTATGACAAAAAGCTCTTTGATGTTCATGTCGACTGTCACTAAGATCCCAAGGATGCATGCTTCATATTCAGCCATATTATTGGTACAAGGGAATCCTATCTTTGATGATATATGATAGTGTTGTCCTGATTCCAAAATTAGGACGACCCCAATTCCTACTCCCTTAAAATAGGACAACTTCTCTTGATCACTCTTTCTTGTTTTCTTCAATACTGTATGGGCCTTTGCTTCGAGAACAATCGTATTAGCGCTTTCATAGTCTGCCTTTCCATTCTTCGAGTGCAGTTCCTTCTTGAGCCTTTTATTTTTGACTCCTACCGAAGCAAGCCTCTCAAGTGCTGACCTTTCTTCCCACCTTTTTGCCGCTCCGTTGAAAAACATTCTTCATCTAGGGTATGACTTTGCAATATCTTCTCCGGTGAACAATACCTCCTCATCAGGAAAGTACATAGTGAGCGGCTCGTAATCCCTATCCACTGGATTCTCGGCAAGGTGGTCGGCTAAAGCTTGTCCCTTGATAGCCTTATGGGCTATGTACACAATGTCAAATTTGTTGAGGAGAATTTTCCATTTAGCTAACTTTCCTGTAGGCATTGGCTTCTGAAAGATGTACTTGAGCAGGTCGAGTTGAGATATCAAATGCGTAGTGTATGCTAACAGGTAATGCCTTAGTTTTTGGGCGATCCAAGTAAGAGCATAACAAGTGCATTCTATCAAGGTGTATTTGGCCCCGCATGGTGTGAATTTCTAACTTAAGTAGTAGGTGGCTTGCTCCTTTCTCCCAGTTTCGTCATGCTATCCCAACACACATCCGAAGGCGTTATTCAAGACTGACAGATATAGTAACAATGGCTTCCTGGGCTCGGGGGGAACCAGTACTGGTGGATTTGACAGGTACTCCTTAATTCGGTTGATGGCTTTCTGACACTCTTTTGTCCATTTTGTGGCAGCATCCCTTTTCAGCAACTTGAAAATGGGTTTACAAATTACTAGACCAGGCTATGAAATGACTGATGTAATTCAGTCTACCTAGGAAACTCATCACATCATTCTTACTCTTGGGCAGTGGCAACTCCTAAATAGCCTTGATCTTTGACGGATCCAATTCTATCCCTTTTATGCTTCTGATGAAGCCTAACAATTTTCCAGCAAACTCCGAATGCGTATTTTTTTGGGTTCAAATTCAAGTTGTACCCCCGCATGCGCTCAAAAAATTTCTTAAAATTGTCCAAGCGTTCTACACTATTTCGAGACTTGATGATGACATCATCCATATATACTTTGATCTCCTTATGAATCATGTTGTGAAAGAGGGTCATCATGGCCCTCGTGTAAGTGGAACCAGCATTCTTGAGACCGAACAAAATGACTCTATAGCAGTAAACTCCCCAAGGTGTGGTAAAGGTTGTCTTTTCTGCATCTCCTTCGTGCATCAAGATCTGGTGGTATCTAGTGAAACAATCCATGAACGACTACAGTTTATGCTTCGCACAGTTGTCAATGAGGATGTGGATATTTGGTAAGGGGAAATCGTCCTTTGGACTAGCTTTGTTGACATCTCGGTAATCCACGCATATCCTGATCTTCCCGTCTTTCTTGGGTACTGGGACGATTTTTTCCAACCAGCTGGGATAATTAGCGACCCTTACTACATTCACTTTTATCTGCTTGGTTACTTCTTCCTTTATCCTCAGACTCAAGTCAGGCTTGAATTTTCTGGATTGTTTCTTGACCGGCGGTCTAGCGGGATCAGTAGGCAGTCGATGTGAGATGATGTGAGTACTTAATCCCGGTATGTAATCATATGACCATGTGAACACATCGATGTATTGTCGGAGGAGCTCACTTAGTTCTTTCTTCTTCTCCACTTCTAGATGGATGCTGATTTGGGTTTCACTTACGTCTTCCTCGCTTCCGTGCTTTACCACTTTTGTCTCTTCTAGGTTAGGCTTTTTCTGACTCTCCAGTTATTCGATCTCTTATGGGAGATTGTCTGGCATCATACTCTCGTCATATTCCTCTTAATCTGGTTCATTTCACTCGACGGTTTTGTTATATGTCACAATCGCGGAATGCAAGTTTTTACCGTTTTATTTAATTAAAAAAAAAACTAAGTACAAATGAAGCGGTAAATAAAGTTGCAATATTTTAAGATAACGATTCTTTTTATTTCATCAAAATAAGAAAGTTTAAGCATTCAAACGAGGCTGATGACAAAAAGGTACAGACACGATGCAAGCCTCAGTTGACCGTACGCTTTTCAAAAGAAACCTTTTTATGATTCCGCACTACCAAGACTCTCGGCGAACCAAAGACAAGTTGGCAGTCCAATTGCGCAATTCTTTCCCTTGTTCAGCATTCCGAATAGTCGGTGTCTTAATGTCAGTTCCTTTACAACATTCTCCAATCATAGTCACGAACAGCCTTCCCATTCCATCGATGATATCATCTTCTGGTGCTGAACTCTGGCTCGTACCCGAAACATGCTCTGGCACAAAAACTTTATTCTCGGAGCTACCGGTATGAGTTTTCCCCATCGGAGGCTAATATCCTATGTCGGCCCTTCCTTTCTGCCCATTTGGCTCAATTGGTTCTATAATTCCGTCTGATTTAGCTCCCAGCCCGGTTCCTAGTCTGTATCCATATTTCATCATCTCCCTCATGGCCATCTTTGTTCTATACGGCGTTTCCTAGTCTGTATCCATATTTCATCATCTCCCTCATGGCCATCTTTGTTCTATACGGCGTTTCCTAGTCTGTATCCATATTTTATCATCTCCCTCATGGCCATCTTTGTTTATACGGCGTCTACGTTCCCAAGTTTTGCTTAGTCTCTTCTATTTCAGGGTCAGCATGATCTCTACTGCTTGGAAAGCAACTCCGTCTAGCTCTTCAATGAACGGGACTATGTGCTCCAAATAAGCTGATTGGACCCATTCACCATGGACCACGATCTCTTGACAACCCCACTAAAATTTCATGCGTTGGTGTAAGGTGGATGGGACGGCCCCTGCCATGTGTATCTAAGGTCTTCCCAACAATAAGTTATATGAAGAGGAAATATCTCTTACTTGAAACAATATGGGAAATTCAACTGGTCCGATCTGCAAAGCCAAATAAATTTCTTTAATAAAATCCTTCTGTTAACCATCAAAAGCCCTTACCCTCACATGACTTTCCTTGACGTCCCTCGGGTGGATTCCTAACTCTCACAGAATAGAGAGCGGGCAAATATTAACTCCTGACCCTCCATCAACTAGTACTCGGGATACCACCTAGTCCCCACATTTGACAGTGATATGAAGAGCTTTGTTGTGACTCACGCCTTCGACAGGAAGCTTGTCTCTTCAGAAAGTGAACATATTTTCTTCTACCATTTTCCCAATTATTGCAGCCAGTGCCTCACTGGTAGTGTTGCTTGTCATACTTACCCAACTTAGTACTTTCATCAGGGCAATTTTATTACTATCGGAGCTCATAAACAACTCCATGATTGATATTTGCGCTAGAGTTTTCTTCAGCTGCTTCTCCACGGAGTATTTCTCTTCCAGAATTCTATGGCTTTGGGGTCTATTATATTTTTTCTTTGAATCTGCTCTCTTCCTAAATTCCCTCGATTTGCATCTTCAGGAGCGTAGCATCTCCCTGACCTAGTCTTACCGTGGGTGGCTGCAGAGTCTGTCATCTTGGCTTTCCCCTTTTGTTGGTATGTCCATGGGACCTGACTCTATTCATCCCCTGTAGCAATCGTAGGTTGACGCTAATAAGTCTGAACCGTCACCGTGGGTCTCACTTGTACTGTGATCATTGGAGTCTTTTCAGGTTGGATCCTTGCGGCCTCTGCATTCCCTATTGTGACAATAGTTCCTTTCAATTCATATTCTTCATCCAAAGTGATCATGTTGACCCCCCGATTCAGGTGATTCGGCAGCGGATTGCGATTCATATTAGGCGGAGCCGGAGTGCACTGAATGGCTCCACTTTTGATCAATGTATCAATTTTATTTTTCATCTTAAAACAATCTTCAATATCATGCCCAAGTACGTTTGAATGGTACACGCACCTTTTGGTTGCATTAAAATACTTTGAGGGATATTCAGGAACCTTCCTTCCACTAGATATATCAATCCTGATCTTCTGAATCTTTCAAACAATTGAGCCAAAGGCTCAGCAATCGGGTTATAATTTTTGGGACCCCTCTCTTCAAAATTTGGACGACGGCGTGGTGCATAAGTAGGTTGGTTTTGATGAGTGGTAGTTTGGACAGGAGCATATGGTCATTGTGGATTCGGGGTGTTGTAGGCTCGAGGCGGGTTATATTGAGGTTAAGGGTGGTAATATGGTTGTGTGTTGTAGACTGGAGCGTAGGCGGGTGGTGGTGGTTTGGGAGTAAGAAGTGTTTCCATGATGTGGGTTGGGTTGGTAGTAAAGGATGACTGCTGAGACTTCTTCCTTTTTCTTCTTTCCACTACCGATTGACCGTGATTAGAATACCTTGTTGGCTGCTTGCAGTACAGCCATGGATTGTACTTTGCCAGATTTTATACCTTCTTCTAAGAAATCTCCCATCTTGACCAGTTCGAGGAATTTATGTCCCATTATACCCATCATTTTTTCAAAGTATATCCCTTCCTGGGCCCTGATGAAATACTTGGTTAATTCATTGTCGTCCAACAAAGGTTGTGTCCTGGCAGCTTCTGACCTCCATCGACGTGCATATTCTTGGAATGACTCGGATGGTTTCTTCTGCAGGTTTACCAGTGTGAACCTATCGGGAGTTCTCTTTGTGTTGAATCAAAAGCGATTCATGAAATCTTCCGCCATATCCTACCATGTTCTTCAGTTTTGTGGATCTTGTCGAGTATACCAGGTAAGTGCTTCTCTCATCAGGCTTCTTATGAACAACTTCATTCTCAGCTTCTCGTTGCTTCCCACTCCAACTAACTTGTCACAATATACCCTCAAATGTGCATGGGGATCACCCGTGCCGTCGAAGATATTGAACTTTGGAGGCTTATACCCTATTGGCATATCCACATCCGGATGGATACACAGATATCCGTAGTCCAAACTTTCACTTCCCCGAGCGACTTGGAGGTTCTTCATTTGTTTTCTCAAGATTTGTAACTACTCAGACACTAACTCCTATTCCTTACGCCTAGCTTCCATTTCCATCTCAGCGCATTGGTCAATATCATAAGGCACCCTCACCGTGACAGGTGCTGTAAAGGTAGTCAGGCAAGCACGTATTCCTAGAATTTGTTGGACCTCTCATTGCCGGAGGTAGGCCTAAATCACGAATATTTGACAAACAATTAGACTTGACATATTTAGATCCGAAGCGAGTTTTGTTTTAATTGATAATGTTTGGATTGCGATA